CCTTGGAGTAAGAACCTTGGAAGTTACCCAATTTTTTGGCCCTTTTTGTCCATGCCTTAGCTTGACCGTCTCGCCTCACCCCTCCACTTTCTTAACATAGTCTGTTACCTCATTGAAATTCCTCTTTGCTGAAGTCATATAAGCATATAACACTTGCAACTCAGAATTTAGTCCCCTAATAAATAACCAAATTCTCTCTTCCTCAATAGTCACCAATTGATTAGTGTATCTAGACAAAGCATGGAACTTGGCCTCATAAGCAGCCACTGTCATACCACCTTTTTCTAAAGCCATAAACTCATCCTTCTTACGATCCCTCAAGGTCCTAGGCACATATTTCTCCAAAACAAAGTATGAAATTTGGTCCAAGTAAGTGGAGGTAAAGAGGAAAATCTGCATTCCATATAAGCTCTCCACCACTGCTTAACCTCACCTTGAAGTTGAAAAGACACAAAGTCAACCCCATGTTGATGGGCAATTCCTAACTTATGAAGCATCTCATAGCAATCTAAGATGAACTCATAAGCATCTTCATTCTCAGAACCAAGAAACAGAGAAGGCTTTAGCTTCAAAAACATAGTCAACATTTTATGTTCGTTACCAGTCATAACAGAACCGAACAAAGGATGGAAGAAAATATTAGTACCCACGTTTCCACCCATCTTGGACGCAGATTTAGCAACAAGAAGATTAGTAGGAGCTTGAGTTGCTTGAACAGGTGGAAGCGCTCTAGGACCAGCCAACCCTTTCAAGAACGATATGATTTATTAAGCTAACACTAGATCAATGGGAGGAATACATGTAATCTCAGTCTGCACGTCTTCATCTTATCCCACATCCTCAATGTTCTTAACATCAACACCCTCATCTGTCTCTTCATGATGAGCAAGTGGGTTCTCATAAGTAGGAGCATTTTGAACAGGAGATCCATTTCCAGCAGGCGCTACTCTTCCACTGCCTCTACCACTAGCTCTTTCTCTACACCTGCCTCGACCGCGACCTCTCACTATAGATCCTCAGTCGAAGCATTGACAGAAACTACCGGTGTGACGCAGTTATACCTAGTATTAACCAACTACGGACAGAAGAGTAAAGGAGGTTAGATACCAATTTAAATCGACAGAAACCAATTAGAATCAAGTTATAGCATGAAAGGAGACAAGAGAAAATAAAGAGATTCTCTAAAGTCCTATAGCCTCTCCGAAAAAAGTAAAGGTGTCCTCGTACCATTCCGCGAGACTCTACTAGACTCATTTTGGTACATCAAGATCAACAAACCTCGGCTCTGATACCAACTTTGTCACGACTCAGATCATCGTGATTGACACCCACACTAACACACCAGTGAGAGAACCATTACTCTAACCCAAACCAAGCAACTAAAGCAATAACAAAGGGATTTAAGTCAAATACTAAGGCAATAAATAGGGAGTTCCCATAAACTCCAATAAAAGTCTAATAAGAACTAAACAAATGTGGAAGAAATAACCTAGAACCTGAAAGGCAATGTATGAAAACATATAACAATTAATCAAATCCAAACAAGAAGGGATACAACCCCAAACTAATGAACTAATAAACTAACTAAAACAATTGTCTAAGTCCGTAAATGGTGCACATAGACGAAAGAGAATCGCATGACAGCCCGGAAGAATTGGCTCACCCTTGAATTTGAAGCGACGATCACTGATCTCCTGAGCGAGGTCTTTCAGTAGCCGCTTCAAGATGTCCTTTACTCAACAAAAATAAGAGCAAGTGTAGTATCAGTACACAACCACAGTGTACTGGTAAGATCACGCGGCTATCCCACTAGTGCAAAATAAACAAGTCAAGACAACAATATAATCATATGCATATATATCAACATATACAATATTATCGACATTTACGAACAACGATCAGTTTCACATTTTATATCACATCATTGGTCCTCTCATGGTGCCCAAACCCAAACCATTAGTATGTCGGAATGTGGCAACTGATCCCATATTTATGGAAGAACGTGACAACCAATCCCATATTTATGCCGGAACGTGGCAACCGATCCCATATATATACTGGAACGTGGCAACCGACCCCATATTTATGCCAGAACCTGGCAACCGATCTAAGTTTGTTATGCCACAACATGGCAACCGATCCCATCCACACACCATAATCACAAACACAAGTAAATCCTCAAGATCATACATCTAAGTCATGATTTCATGGTAATGATAATTCATCTATCTCATTTACAACAAGTGTGATCAACATTGCAACATTCATAAATATACAAGTATCATAATGAAGCAAGAACAAGCATACATCACACAATCATAGAATCACAGCCATCACCTACCTCGAAACAAGCTTCAAACCCTGCGAAACTTGATCCTTTCCTTTCTGAATTTGTTCCGCTTGTTCTTGCTCTATAAACAATCAATATAATACGAGAATCAATAAATAATCACTAAATACCCAGAATACTAACAATTCTATGAACCCTAGATCAAACCCATGATCACAATCATCCAAATTAGGGTTTTTTCCACCATAGAATATATAACAAAACTCTCCCCCCATCAATACTCATCCATTCTATTATGTTCTACGGATTGAAAAAAGGATACGGGAAGTGAAAAGCTTACCTTTTGCCTCAAGAATGGTGAAAAATGAGTAGGAGTCGCCTGTGTTTCAGTCCTTAGCTCTAAAAGTTGAAAAGTGCATAATGTGGTCATTTAGGGGTTTAATAACGACTTTAATTCGCGTCTAGCCCGCCACAACAACACCCACCCCGCTACAGCCTCCCTGCCAGAGCGACCAAGATCCCGCCAGGGCGGCTTGCACGGAACCATTAAGCTATTTAATTAATTCCAAGACACCTATTTCATAACACACCTCTAACCGACGATGCTAAGAAAATACCCTTTACTCTAGGATCGATTCCGGGAGTTCTACTCACCCGAATTCAATTCCATAAAGTCGTACGGATTCCTTAGCGAGTTATGTATCCCCTCATGTAATCAAAATCATAATTAAACCACCTGAGTTTTACAAGATTTCCCTACACCTTAAAGACTCCGATTTCATCCAAATCTTGACTTGGTTGGGAAAAATCTAAATACTACGAAAAAGTTTTTCGGCCCCAAAATCCCCCCCGTTAGATTTTCTATAACGATGGGAACAAGTCGTTACAACAACTACTATGTAGTCTTCTACATTGAAATCAAATTTACATGCGAACACTTTCAATACTTGGGTGGGCAAGTATCAATAGAAACCTTTAATCTTTTTCTAGGTTAGAAGAATCCCTACTTATAGAGATTTCTTCCCAATCAAAAAAGGAGAACAAAACACAGTCTATTTTCTTCAACCAGAAAAATACACGAAAGTTTTCTTTTCAAAAGAAAAACGCATGCTAGTATCCTCTTTTCTCCTTAGAAATAGGATTCTGAGTTATAGTTAAATATGGGCACTGTAGGGACCCATAATTAATTACTGAGGCTTCCTATTATGGAAATAATTCCAAACAATTAATTTGAATTATTCTTACCATAATAAATTACAAATCATTCCATTAGAAATTCGTAATTGCACTCCTCTATTTATTATTCGAAATTCCCCATTAAACACCTATGTAATTCACCATGTTAGGATTACAGATACTAATCAATAAATTAAATTACTGACTAATTTAATTCAATGATTAATTTCCTTTAGAGCACTACTTAACTTCTTTAATGTGTCGGATTTGTTTAGAATATGTCTTAGGATATTGCAGAAATAAAACAGTTAGCTATTTTTTAGGTTTTTAAATTATGTTATTAGAGTCCTATTTGACTTATACTTAGGAGTTAGTTCTTTTTATTTGTTATTTGAATTAAATTGATAAGTTAGTAACATATTTTTCTATTTTTTGTTAGGAATTATATATGCACTATGTTGAGACACAATGTAATGTATATCTTGTACGACTCGCTCTCTCTTCTTACCTCTACCTTTTCCATCAGCCCCTTCACTAGTTTTGCTTCTACTGAAGTCTTTTCCCATGGAATTGGAAACCTTTGCCTTGTTTTCTATAATATGACCGTTATCACATGTCTCTTCAATAATATCTGGGGGAGGTTCTTTCTTACGATTCAAACATTCACTCTATTTCTTCATAATTAAGGGAGTCTTTAATATCGCATCCAAAGAATGACTTTCTTGATTTTTTGCTAAAGTCAAAATATTCAATGAATCAACCTTTGGTTGCTTATATTTATCTCTTACTTTTTCTGATCTAGTCCCTAGAAATCTTACCTTGCTATCAATACCAAGCAAACTATCCAAGCATTCTTTGATTTTCTTGGAGTCTTTTATTCTTTGCAACATGAATTCCTTCACCTCCAACATATTTTTTCTCAAGGTAATTCCAAATTTCATTTGGTGATGGGAGAAATATAATTCTCTTTAAAATTGTTGTTGATACAACAACAAACAGAGTTGCTTTCATCGTGGACTTCGTGATTTTATTTTCCTTGTGACTCTTGATTTGCACTGTGGTGAGAATATTTTGTAAAGAATTAATTTCATAATCATTTTCTACTGCTTCCTTCCTAAAGATCAAGGGCCTCCAAGTAATTTTCCATTCTCACACCTCATAATTGGTAATTTTCATTACTAAAAACAGCATGAGTTATTCATGAAAACCTATTTTTGAAATCCATCTATTTACTGAAAGGTCACTGTAGAAAACTAGCTCTAGATCCCACCTATTAGTTTTTGAAAGAAAAGAAATGCAGGAAAATAACAATAGAAGAGAAGTTGAAGGATAAATTATGTATTGCACTACAGAACTTTATATTATTGTCTAACAAATGATATCTATTTACAGACTAAAAACTAAACTGAAATTGAAATCAACTCCTAAATACTAGAATTATTGCAATAGGAATATTTGTAGTTCTAAATCAAAGATTCAACATATTTACAAAAGATTGCAAGGCCTTCAATCTTGAACCTTATATGTATAGCTCTTAAGCTTCTACATTATTTGCTTGAAGCCATGTCGGGAAAGCTTGAACAGTCCATGTATCAACTCTGTGATAATTTTGAGTAAACTCAAGGAGAGCAAGCCATGTGAAGTCCGTATCTAGTCGAGGGGTGTTGTAGTCCACCAATTCAGTTGGTCGACTCACCACCTTATCTTTGTCTTGACAAAGAAAGAAAGGAAGTGATTTTCTAGGAGTCTTGTTGTTAACCAATGTTCTATGCAAGCAACTTTTGTATTTGCCATTCGATAGGGCCTGCAAAAGGACAAACACCAAATATGTTATTTTCAATTTCTAAGTAAGAACTCGTGATGTATATCATTGCGAGTCCTGTGTAAAGATCTTATAATGTTTTTCACCAAAAAAATGTATTATTTGTTCAATTGATTATGTTTATATTATTTGAATGTGATACAAAATACATTAGCTTATTATATAGTACTAGTTTGAAAATTTGCTTACCATAAATGTGTCGTCGATGTTAACAACAAAAGCATTAAAATTTTGGCGAATGAAGTACCATTCGTTGTCCACAAAAACCTGAAATCCAGACTTGAATTGAGGAATAATACATAAAACATTGCATTCAATAAATAAGATACATAATTTAATAAGATACAACGTTTTGATGTATGCATTGTACGTTATGTATCATTAATTATTATTTTTATATATATTCACTAAAGATGATACATAAATTATTAGGATACAATAATTTTGATGTAATAAAAATTAACATTTCCTGAATCTCAAAAGACTCTTTAAATTAATAAATATTAATTTATCTATTAAATTACACATCTACAGATTAATAATATTTTGTAGTCTCACCTATATTAATTTAATGAGTTTTACTATAGTATTATTTTAAGAATAAAAGTTATTTTTAGCTATATAAGGAAATCTATCTACGGAAAAAGTCAATAAATATCTCTACTTATGATTATGCTATATTATGTGTAGATATGTCTATGCACATTCTATGAAAAACTTATACCCCAATTTTAAGCATTATTAAGCCATTCTTAGCAAACTGCTTGGACCCATTTTTGATATTTCAAAGCTTCTTAAGGGAAAATTTTCAAACTCTGATTTGAAATCTATGGTCAAACATATCTTTAAAAATACGTCCTTTTTAAAATTTGCTTCAAAATATATGAAAACTCTCGGGCCACAAAATTAATCATTATTAAGCCCTTCTCAACAAACTGTTCCGACCCATTTTTGATACTTGAGAACATTTTAAGGAATTTTTTTCAAAATCTATGGTCAAACATATCTTTGAAAGTATTTCCTTTTTAAAAATCTTATTCAAACTACATATGAACTTCTATCCAAATTTTAAGCATACTAAAGATTGAAGGGCAATTAGGTTCAAGTGGGAAAGACTCGTCTGTTGTTTCATCGGAAGACGATAAAGAATGGGAAACTGTTGGCCCAAAGAACAAGTCTGCAGTCACAAGAACTCAGGACTTCGTTCCTTCAAACCTAAGTGTCATTATAGGGGGGGCAGTTGAAGAGCCTTGTAAAAGTGATAGGGAACAAAGCCTCTGCGATAGTTAAGCCAATTTTGGTATTCCATCTTGATATTTCACACGAAGCTATTCATAACATTCAAGATGCTCTCCGCCTATTTTCTGCCCCTGAGACACTCGAGGAATATAGAACTATCGTAGGAATGGTTGGAGTGGCTAGTGATAGGAAATCCATCAGCATACAGACACATCCTAAGATGATGATTTTACACCTGAAGCGGTTTGGTTATGGAACCTATGGAAGTACCAAATTGCACAGGTTTATGCAATATGGCACTTCCATAACCTAACTGCTTCAGGTGTAAAATCAACATCTTAGGAAATGTATGTATGCTGATGAATTTCCTAGCAGTAGCCACTCCAACCATTCCTATGGTAGTTCTATATCCCTCGAGTTTCTCAAGGGCAGAAAATAAGCAGAAAGCATCTTGAATGTTATGAACAGCTTCGTGTAAAATATCAAGATGGAATACAAAAAAATGGTTGAACTATCATAGAGGCTTTGTTCCATCTCACTTTTACAAGGCTCTTCAACTTCCCCCCAATAATGACACTCAAGTTTGAAGGAACGAAAACTTGAGTTCTTGTGACTGCTGACTTGTTCTTTGGGCCAACAGTTTCCCATTCTTCATCGTCTTCCAATGAAACAACAAACGAAACTTTCCCACTTGAATCTGATTTCCCTTCAAGTTTTAGTATGCTTAAAATTTTGATAGAAGTTCATATGTTTTTTGAATCAGATTTTAAAAAATGAAATACTTTCAAAGAAATGTTTGACCATATATTTTGAAAAAATTTCCTTAAAAAGTTCTGAAGTATAAAAACGGGTCTGAATAGTTTGTTGAGAAGGGCTTAATAGTGCTTAATTTTATGGCCAGAGTGTTTTCATATATTTTGAAGAAAATTTTAAAAAAGGAAATATTTTTAAAGATAAGCTTGACCATAGATTTAAAATCAGAGTTTGAAAATTTTTCCTTAAAAAGCTTTGAAATAGCAAAAAAGGATCCAAACAGTTTGCTACGAATGTCTTAATAATATTTAAAATTGGGATATAATTTTGTTACCGAATGTAACATATCTACACATAATAAGCATAATCATAGGTAGATATATTTAAAGTATTTTTCCGACTGATTTTCCTTAGATAGATTTCCTTATATAGCTACTAATAACTTTTATTCTTAAAATAAAACTATAGTAAAACTCACTAAATTTATATATGTGAGTCTACAAAATATTATTAATTTGTAGATGTATAACTTAATAGATAAATTAATATTTATTAATTTAAAGAGTCTTTTGAGATTCAGGAAATGTTAATTTTTATTACATCAAAATTATTTTATCATAATAATTTGTGTATCATATGTATTGAATTTACATAAAAATAATAATTTATGATACATATAGTACAATGAATACATCAAAACATTGTATCTTATTAAATTATGTATCCTATTTATTGAATTCAATGTTTTATTTATCACGCCTCAATTCAGGACTTCAGGTTTTTGTGGACAATGAATGGTACTCCATTCGTCCAAATTTTAATGCTTTTGTGGTTAACATAGGCGACACATTTACAGTAAGAAATTTTACAAACTAGTACTATATAATAAGCAATGTATTATGTATTACATACAAATAAAATAAACATAATCAATTAAACAAATAATACATTTTTTGGTGAAAAACATTATAAGATCTTTCCACATAATTTATCCTTCAACTTTTCTTCCAATGTTATTTCCCTGCATTTATTATCTTTCAAAAACTGATAGGTGGGATCTAGAGCTATTTTTCTGAAGGGACCTTTGAGTAAAGAGATGGATTTCAAAGTTTGTTTTTCATGAATGACTCATGCTATTTCTAGTACTGAAAATTATGAATTATGTGTTATGAGTACGGAAAATTACTTTGAGACCCTTGATCTTTAGGAAGGAAGCCGTGGAAGAGGATTATGAAATTAATCCGTCACAAAATAATCCAACCATAGTGCAAATCAAGAGTCACAAGGAAAACCAAATCTATGAAGTCCACGACGAAAGCAACTTTGTTTGTTGTTGTCTCAACAACTATTTTAAAGAGAATTATATTTCTCCCATCACCAAAAGAAATTTGGAATTATCTGAAGAAATAATATGTTGGAGGTGAAGGAACTCAAGTTGAAAAGAATAAAAGACTCCAAGAAAATCAAAGAATGCTTGGATAGATTGCTTGGTATTCATAACAAGGTACGATTTCTAGGCACTAGATCAGAAAAGGTAAGAGATAAATATAAACACAAGCAGCCAAAGGTTGATTCATTGAATAATTTGTTTGTAGCAAAAAATCTGGAAAGTCATTCTTTGGATGTGATATTAAAGACTCCATTAATTAAGAGGAAATGGAGTGAATGCCAGAATCCTAAGAAACAACCCCACCTCCCTCCCCCCAACAATCGTATTAAAGAAAAGAAGGCAAAGGTTTCCAATTCCATGGGAAAGGACTTCAGTAGAAGGAGTGCTAGTGAAGGGACTGATGGAAAAGGTAGAGGTTAGAAGAGAGAGCGAGTTAGACAAGATCTAGATTGTACTCTGTCTCAGCATAGTGCAGATGCTGAAGATTCTTCAAGATGAGGAACGTAAGTAAGACAAATTTGGATGGTTCTATAGATAAAATGATGTACATTACGATGATGATCCCATTTGGGGAACTATTTATCGAATAGTGGATCATAAATTTATAATACAAGCAACCAAATGTTCATTCATTGAAAAATGTTGCTTTAGTAAATATTCCAGAAAACCATTCTTCTGTATGTGATATTAAAGACGTCCTTAAAAAGAATACATTAATGCAAGAATATTGAGACTCAACCTTCCCCGGATATTATAGAAGTGACATGTGATAACGATTTTAAGAAAGAAAAGAAATCATGGGTGTGCAAGTTCTTGGAAAAAGACTTCAATATAAGCAAAGCTAGTGACAGATTATTATAAATAATAAGTTAACAATGATTATCGATGTCACAACCCAGCCCACCGTGATTGGCACCCACTCTAACTCTCCAGTGGGAGAACCATTACAACAACCCAACTAAACAACTTAACGAAAAACTAAACATTTAAAGATATGGAAGCAGTTTTAAATGATGGATAGAAACGGAGTTCCCATAAACTCCAAAGGTTTTAAATAAATAATTTAAACAACTGTTGCGGAGGTCAATCACTAAAACCTGAAAGTTGTTGTACCAAAACTCTACCAATCAACAAGTCTAAGGAAAGGGGGTACGACCTCGGAACTAAATATACGAATAAATCTAACTATAGAGTCTGAGTCTGAAAAGAATGGATTAAACAATAGAGGACCCATCGCAATCGGGAAGATTTGGCTCACCCTTGAATCCGGACTCGATCATTGATCTCCTAACTGAGGTCTATCAGTAGCTGCCTGAAGATTCCCTCTACTTAACAAAGAACAATCAAATGCAGTATCAGTACACAACCACAGTGTACTGGTAGGATCACGCGACTACCCCAGAAGCGAAATACAACCAGGAAATTACAACACAGTAAACACACATATACAGAATACATAGTTCAATTAGCATTTTAGGAGCAACATACAATATCCCAATATATGTGTCGAGACGTGACACCCAGTCCAATATATGTGTCGAAATGTGACACCCGATCAAATGTATGTGTGGGAATATGACACCTGATCCAATCAGCACAAGCACAATCACACTCACCCCATAATGAATAATACATATAGTCACTTGGTCAAGTAGCAGTTCATGGCATGCAGTTGTTCATACATAATCATTCCATTAGATTTTATTCACATTTCACGATTCACATACACACATGCATATAAGAAGCAATTATCCGACATATAGCATACAAACAGGGAATCGAACCATCACCTACCTCGAAACCAAGTTTGAATCCTCCTAAGACACTTGAACCTTCCCTTTCCGGATTATTTCTTCTTGTTCTTGGTCTTAACACAAGTAATTAGTACAAGGATTAATAACCAATGCCTAATTTACCTGGATTATAATCAAACTATCAATGCAAGGCCAAACCCAAGATCTTAATATTGAACTAGGACTTTTCCCACCATCAAATTTAGGCCAAAACCCTCCCCCAATGATAGTTACACTACAAGAAAAAGGCTTATTTAAGACCAAGATTTAGGGACGAGTGAATTATCACGTCTCAAAAAGTGTATCTATTGGGACGAGATTATATTTCGGTCCTTATTTGAACATTTTATTGAGAAGGTATTAAATCTAGTCCTTAAAAAAATAATTTACTAATCCCAAAATCTATTGAGGGCCTTGAGCGGCAAAATTTTTCCGCCACTTTTGTACTAAAATATTTAAAAAATGAAAATTTTATTTTGTTCAAAACTTTAAGAGCTAAAAATTAAAATATACGTACAAAAGGGTATAAACATCGTCTCTTTTATCTCAAAACACAGCAGCCCGTCGCCCTAGTTTGAGCTCTAAGATCACCATTCCAACTGATCAAGGTTGTCACTATGCCCTAATCTCAACTTTTTTTTGCTTTAGCTTGACGTTTCTCTGCCCTAATAGCGTATTTTTGTTGTTATCGTTGCTGCTCTGCTCAAAACAGAATTTCATCCAAGCTTTGCTCGAAACAAAAATCTAGGTTGGTTCCTCTTTCGATCGTGTTGTTGATTCTTCTATATGTTATATTGATTTCTTTTTTTCATTGTTGTATTCTAGCTATTCTTTTTGTTGTTGCTGCTTAATCTTGACGTTCCTCTGCCCTAATCGCATTTTATTTCTTGTATTGCTGCTCTGCTCAAAACGAAATTTCACCCCAGCTTTGCTCGAAACAGAATTTCAGGTTTGTTCCTCTTCCGATCGAGTTGTTATGCTTCTTCTATATGTACTGATGTCATTTTTTCATTGTTGTATTCAAGCTACTCGTAGCCATGTATTTGGATTTGGGGGTGGAGTAAAGGCAAAAGATTTGAAAGGTGGAACTTCTTCAAAGGCTGAACTATTGTCTGCGCTACGTTCAACTCGAGATGATAACAAATTCTTGAATGAAGAAAACAAATCTTTGAATGAGGAAAACAAATCCTTGAATGATAGCTTGTCTACCTTAGAAGATGAGATAAAAGCAATAATGAAGATGAATGAATTCTTTGATGCTCAACAATCAAATGTACCACCTACAATATCGCATGTTTCAACTGAATGACAACTGTTTTTTTGCTGACCAAGTAAGTAAGAATATACCCGACTTTATTTTATTATAAGAAGGCTTTTAATTCTTGACATGATAGTTCTGTCTCAATAGTCCCTCTACCATGTCCTCATCCTCTGCTAGCTCTTGGTTAAATGCTC